TAAGTATCCTTCCCTTGCAAGACTAGTCTTACTTAGGACTGTGTGAGCGTTCGAAAGCTGTCTGCGGATTTAAAAGCCTGGTTCGGTGATATCCCCCATCCATACCGACTTTGATTGATGTCGTAGCATATCGTCTTTTATCGAATAACCGAGAACTAATCAAAATGATCAGGTACACCTATCCTTAGTCGCTTCACAAAGTTTATAAATTTCAGAGCTATGCTTCATTATTAGCTGTGACTAAATTACGGACGCAGTCTTTGGCAGAGGAGTTAAAAACGACGTTCTATCCAAATCTGGTTCCTGGTGTTTTGAAACACGAGCGTCCTTCTAGAGAGTGTTCAACGATTCCTTGAGTGTCGAAGCAAAATCATGCTACGTTCTCTACAGAAGACTATCTATGCTGGGCATGCGGTGCACCGCAAATCTCACGTAACCGAAAACAAAGATTCGATGAATTTCTTACGACAAGCAGCCGAAGTTGGAATATGGCGGTACGCATAGGTGATTATCTCGTTGATTATAGCGTGTGTTACTCGCAAAACTAGCCATCTGACTGGGCCACCAGCTTACTCTAGAGATAGCTACCACGAAGAGTGCGGAAAGGGTGGCGAATTTTAGCATATAATCGAAAGTGATTCCATGTTAAGACGCCGAATCATCACATGTCCGATTCTTCCGATTCTTCATGGTTTCTAAGGTTTGCGGTAGCACTCGAACGAATCGCCGGTTGGGAGCGCGCAATCCTGAGGGACTAGCTCCATCACCAGATAGTTCTGAAATGGCGACATGGTGCTTCGTGGACTGCATTTGCTATCAGCCTGCTTTCCATCGCATTCACGACCGAGGAGAACAGCAGTAGTAAGCTTTCATCATGGAGTTTCTAGTAGTTCCATAACGGTGTCGACAATATCTAATAGACTTGATGAGATAATGCCCTCGTGAGTGCTCCTCTACTGTCGTCGCTTCTGTGAATGTCACTTCTGTCAACCTACACCTCCCGAACTCTTCCATGATCCATAGGCGAGTCCTATAAATGGGCAAAGGAGCATAAGAGAGTTCATTACTATCAGTAGGCACAGTTGATGTGGCAGCCCAGACTTACGTCATTTTATTGCATTCTGTTTAAAGTGACAGGTCCAGTCAATATCTTCAATAATTTTCATTACGATGAAATCGGATGTAATCATCGCATCTAATTATCTATTTAGATTAAGATGTGAAATAGGTAGAAGAGGAATAGGACAGCGGCTCTTTGACGGGGAATTCCAACACATGTTCCAAATCTATACGTAGATAGACGAGTTGAAGCCCACTATTTTTGGGATTTCCATTAGCCATAACATCTTCACTTTAGTTTAGATGATCGAATGGATCAAAGGTTAGCGTAAAATTTGCTAAGTTCTTATGTGTTTTATCATTCAATGACGGAAAGTTCCATGGCAATTTATTTGTTGCCTGAAAATTTAGCGTCGCGGAAACGGGTATTCATGTACAGGATAATTAGTTATGCAGTTACTGGGCGAAACATAAACAGTATTGGAGTTGAGCAAGGAATATGTTATAGAGAACTGGCAACTTGCTTTACGTCATTTTTAAGAGTCAAGTTAGGCAGATGGTAGTGGATGTTTAGTGACACTCGGTGTTGAGTAGCCCTCGGAGGCTGCATGGACTCTTACCGCACCCTGAATTGATGCCAAACGGAGAAAGGAGGGAGGGGGAGGGGAGGAAGACTTAGGAGATCTGGGCCACGTCCCTGGCTCTTTTGACGAATCTCGGACGAACAGACTATAAATCTCTCCTACTAATGTCTTCATCGATGAAAATGGGAGACTTGGACAACCGACGGATACTAAGGATAATCTGACCCTCTTATTCCAGAAGAACGAAAGGTGTCTCTCCTGAAAGCACTAAAGACCCGAATCCTAGACTTAAACATTTCTTACATAACT